CAGTCTTTATCTCTCAGCAAGGATTTGGTGAGTCTTTGGATTCTTTGCGTTTCATCACTTTAATTTTCTATTTCTTGCTTTAGTTTCAATAGCTACCAAAACATTTTATATGCTACATACTCTGCTGTTGTTTCCTTAAATCCTAATGCTGAACTTTGAAGGCAAGACTAAGCAGTAGCATTTTTGGCTCACACTCTGAAATGCGGCAAGCCCAGAAACCACATGTGGTAACATACGTCTGTAGCTAAAAAATGCGAATACAAAGCACAGTTCCACTGCACTGGGCATTGGTGAAGCCACACCTTGAGTCCTGTCTTCAGTTCTGGGCCCTTCATGACAAGAAAGACATCAAGGCACTGGAGCGAGTAGAACAGAGCTGGTGAAGGGTCTGGAGCACAGATCCTGTGAGGAGCAGTAGAGGGTGCTGGAGGTGTTCAGCCTGGAGAAAGGGAAGCTCAGATTTCTACAGCTGTCTGAGAATGGGCTGTAGCAAGGTGGAGGGGTCAGTCTTTTCTCCCAGTTTCTCCCAGTAAAAACGTGACAGGACAGGAGTAAATGGCCTCAGATTGTGCCAGGTGAGGTCTCAGAATCTCTGCTGGTCACAGTGCCCCCAAGATGTGTTAGAAAGTGTCTTTTCCCAGCCCAGCCATCAAAGAAGGAGTCAGAACTCTTCTATTCTCATTCTCAAGGTTGTTTATTGTTTCTTATCTATAAAATTCTTTCTCCAACCCACCGAGGTCTGTCTGGCAGGTCAGGTTGAGGCACACTGCCCGTTCTTGGGATGGTGATATCTTTTATACTAAAAATTACATGTACACTATTTACTATTTCCCAATACCTATGTTAGACACTGAGCTTCTACTCTAAACCAATCTAAAAATGCCAACATCACCCAGAAGATGGAGGCTAGGAAGAGGAAGGAAAAAGGACTAGGCACACCCAAATTCCTCCATCTTGGGACCTCGAGCCCCCATTCTAAAAACCTCAAAAATCTATTTTTCACCCCGTGGCAAACTCACTATTTAAACTTCCTTGACTCGTAATTCTTCATATAGAGGTTGGTAATTGTTTTCCAAGATCAAAGGCACAGGTGTCTTGGGCTCTGTGCCAAGGTCTCTGAGCCCCCTGGGCAGGGGCTTGAGCCATCCAGGGCAGACAGAGGAATTTCCTGGGTTCTGATAGTGAGGTTTTAGACTGGATATTGGGAAATATTTTTTCACTGAGAGGGTGGTCAGGCATTGTAACAGGCTTCCCAGGGAAGTGGTGGAGTAACCATTCTTGGAAGTATTTAGAAGATGCAGCAGTTGGGGGTAGGGTCTAGTGGTGAACATGGTGGTGTTGGATTAAGCTGGATCTGATGATACGTGGAGAGGTGATGATAGCACCACATAGTAAATGAAAGTGGATGTAAGAGGCTGGATCACAGAGAATACTGAAAGGAAAGCAAGGGCGTTTGAACTTGGGTGGCTTAAATCAGCAAACTGGTTGAGAAATTTGAGGAATTAACCGAATTCTTCAGAAGTATGATTGCACTGAGTAGATTGGGAATGGATATGAAGGGTGAAGAAAGGGAAAAGCATACGGTGGTCACCCACAAAGCAACACTACAAGTTGTGGTAAAGCATTAACAATAAAAGCAAACGTTGAGATTGGAATGCCCATTACTTTCCTCTAAGAAGTGAGGCCAAACATTTCAATTGCCTTTCATGCAACAAAATAGAATGGGAAGAACAGCTTTTAAATCATCTAAACTTACATGTGCCATTTCATCTTCCATTCATAACACTTCATCTAAAGAATTTGCTTTCCTGATGGTGGGGTATACTCCTCCATTTTTCCCTATGGCTGAGCTCCCAGACTTCTTCTGGCAGTCTGTTACTATAGAGACAAAGTGAAATATATACATACATCTACCATGTCACAGTACTAGAGAACACCTGGTGGCAACAGCAGAACAAAGGAAAGATAGAGCTGTTGCTCTTCCCAGCAGATAGATATAGATATAGATATAGATATAGATATAGATATAGATATAGATATAGATATAGATATAGATATAGATATAGATGATATAGATATAGATATAGATGATATAGATACACACACATGGTTATAGCAGGTGCTCCAAAACAAGAACATCTTTTATCAATCTGCATTTTCCAATGGGACTAAATGCAGCCACAGTGGTGAAGTGGGAGGCTGTGCAGTGGTACAGCCTTTCAAGGTGGAAATCAGTCGATCTAAATGGGGGAAAGGAGTCTAGCAATGCACAAGTACTGCCTGGTAGCACAAGAACATGCACTATAATACTCTGTGCTAATAAGGGAGGTACAGTTAGGTCTGCAGTCCCCTTAAAACCATAGCTTGGCTGATTATTTATCTCATGACATCTGTGCTGGGCTGTAAGGTCTTAACAAGCAGCTGGCTGTGATCCTGTAGCCCTATCAGTAAATCTGCCCTCTCATCCACTATTCAGTTTTTCCCCTGTTATTAACTAATTGTCTCTCAGAACAACTACTTCTCTGCCTCTCGTTTGTGAGGACACTCTCCTTCCTCTTGGTATACAAATACTGATTAAGTTTATGTAAGTTATTAGGATTGTAATTTTTTTTTACTTTAATGTTCAAGCTGCAGAGAGGAAACAAATATCTCACAAGCCTCCCACTCTAGTGTCTGTAAGCATATCCAAATACTAATCCTTTCTGACACTGTCAAGGGCAACAGCCTATCACAAGGGTGAGACTACTACCTCTCAGCAAAGCTGCAGCTCTTCATGGTACTGAGCTGCAAAGGGAAGTTTGTCTGGATTTTTCTGTGAGTGGTTGAACAGTCTCAACTGATCCATATTTTTGTTCTAAATCAGAATGGGGTTGGCAGGCTTTATTCTCCAAGAAGCATGAATTGAAGCTCCTAATAGGAAAGCATGGGGAAATAAAAGATGCATCTTAGTGTCAATTCATATTTAGACCATAGTTTAGCCACCCACATAAAACTATATTCACTACAATTTGCGCTTCTTATAACTCAGGAAGAAATTACAGACAGACAGTTACCCCAAAGGAACATGACATAGATTACAATGCATGCTCAGAGACACATTTCAGTTTCCCTTCTCCTCTACGTTTATTTGTTTTTGTGTGCAGTGAGGTACCCTGGCCTAGTAAATACTCTTGCTCAGCAATTGCCTTGATCATTAAAAGCTGTAGGAGTTTGTTCAGCCAAATGTTAAAAGCTTCCATTTATTTTCTTCTGTTTTAGGGAGATTCATTCTTAGCATGAATATTCATTCTTAGCTGCAGGAATAAAAATGAGCTTATGACAACAGCTACACAGTATCTTTGCTATGGAGTACTTTGCAATTAAATTTTGGGGAGGTTTTTCTGTTGGTGGTGGTGGTTTGGTTTGGTTTGCGGTTTTTCTGTTTGTTTGGTTTTTTATCTCTTTCATTTCCACAACATATATGTCAGACACAGCAAGCTCTGCATAGCTGTTAGCAAAACTGGTTAAGAGTATTTGAGATTTTTAAGGACTCTGTTGCATATTAAAAGCAAACTGTACAAACATATATTTCTGTAAGAAGTTTATGTATTTTTCAGACAGTATTCATATAGAACAACCCAAACATTTAGTGGCTTAGGTCTCAGGCCACAACCATTTTATCTCACTTATTTATATTATAATCAAGCATCTCTGTAATCAGCCAGCATCCACACACAGGGGTGGGTAAAACAAAGTACTGACTAGATCTTACTTTCTTTTTGAAATATAAATCCTTTGCTACAGAGGAGCAACACAATTAAACATTTGCAACACTTACTTGTTCCTCAGTAACCAACAGCAGTTTATAGCTGTAGCTCCTGTGTAAAGCTTCGTGCTTATCAAACACCCATCTTCTCCAGCAGGAAGGAAGATGCAGTGTTGGTACTGGTTTCAGTGCCTCATCAAGAGCTTTATCAGTAGCTTGCTGGCTTAGAATGGAGTGGATGGTGGAGTGAAGAGGGATGGATATACACACAACAGGCACAGAAAAGGTGGTGGAGGGGAGCATAAGAAATTTGGGAGTTAAAACTACCCAAAGGCAGCCCTGCAGTGCTGCAGAATCATCTCTTTGCACAAACCAGGAAAGAGAAGTGTTCTAACTACTTGAGCATCAAACGCACATAGTTGTTTTTAATAAAAAGCACTATCTAGCAATGCTTGTTTGACAACATCTCATCAGCTGAGTAGTGATGGCTCTGGCCAATGGCCAATCCTAGAGAGTAAGGAGATAGTTAAAAAAAAATCAATAATTCAAAAGGTAGAATTGATCAGAATTAAATTAGAATTAGAATTAATTAGAAATTCCAGGGAGCTAGGAATCACAGAGTTAGGAAATGCTCTTCAGCTATCAGTGCAGAGAAACCCATGTCCATATGAGGTAGCTAGGAAGCTGCCATTGCAGTTCTCAGCATGAAAGACTGGAAGTTGAAACCTCCTGATCAAATTCCAACATAAATACTTACACTCTGGATATATTTCTGCAGCTGAATTAAAAGCATTCCTCAGTTCTTCCTCTACACTTTTATGCTGTTTGAGAATTTACTTAATTCCTGTGAGCAAGCAGTTCCTTTCAGCACAGGATGAAATTACAATTCCCAAGCCTTCTCTTCAAGCTTTTGGCGGTTCCTCTGGCAGGCACAGTACAGAATGAGTATCATGATCTCTGCTAACTCTCAATTTACTGAGGCTGGCTCTCAGAGATCCAAGGGGTGCTGGTCTGTAAGGATCTTTATTTTCCAAATGCCAATGGCAAATATGTTTGGGTCAGGGATACAACACACATTTGCAGGATTTTTTAATACTATCTGTAAAACATAAATTGACAGTGCATACTCATGCCCTATTCTTCATGATTTCTCATAGTTCTTTCCTTTATTGCATTTTGGTAAAAAAAAAAAGACTGCATAAAGCAGCATGCAGAAGACAAACTCTGTCAATAATTCCATAAAAAATCCACTTACCAGCAACAATATTGTGGAAGTAGCAGAGTTCATCTAGAAGTTTACTTCAAAGAACAAGTTTACTTCTTGACAAAGAAATGCTTTAAAAACTGCAGAACTTCACTGACTGCTGGCATTCTGAGATACTGCATCTTTTCAAAAAGGAAAAAGAAAGGATAGCTCCTAATAAAGTGTCATATTCATTTTTAAGGTTCCATTAATTGCTTGTTTTGATAAGTCAACTAGCAATATTCACTGAAACAAAATATTGTTTAAAAATACATTGATTTATGGTCATTATGTATCTATCCAACCTATTTCAAAAAATGTAAAGTTTCATCTTTCTTATTGATAGCAATCATTATGCCCTAGTAAGTAACTGAATACCTCAAGAGATTAATTTAGAGAATCAGAACCTGTTTTATATTTGTCCTGGAAGAACTTTTTCACTATATGCTGTTTGTGAAAAACAACACCACCACCAAACTCAAGAGCAATGTTTATTGCTTGTATGACCTAAAAATAGATTGTATTCCATACTTGTTGTGCAACACTGAAAAAAATTAAAATGCTACTTATTCTAAGTATAGTACTATGTTTGTGCAAAAGTACAAACTATTCCGAACATCAATGACAACATCAGCAACACACAGTACTTTACAGAAATAACAACTAAAATTCGTGGAAAGATATCAAGTAATCAACAGACATTGTGACTACAGAAAAGCTGCTCAGGGATGTGATATGCTAGCATTTAAGAGAATTCTGGAGTGAGCTGTTCCCAAAGGGCAGACATTGACCATTGCTAAGGCTGTGCATTCCTGCATGCCAGGAGAAGCTGGAGAGCACTGCATGTGTAATTTAGAGCTCCACCAGCATAATCCACATAAGGCAGGTAGTGTTTGTGAATGCTCCAGTATGTTCATCTAATTTGAAGAGAGGAATTTTCTCGAACTTGTATGATGCTTTATCAGAGTGCTTCCACATCTTTTACATTATTAGAGACAAACTACTCCATGGTGAAATAATGTTATCTAAGAGAGGTGGCAATCACTTTGAAGCTGTTTGACTGAGAACAAAGGTTACAATGACAACTAAAGGCCCGGATTTTAGACCAACTTTATAGGAACAGTGGATTGCAATCCCAAAAAGTCCAATGTTTGTATCTCTACAGTGTAAGATGGTGAAGATGCTGCATGATCTTCCATACACAAACTTCCCAATTGCACCTGTGAGCATTTGCAAGGTCTGTAACAACTGATCAAAATAAAATGAAATTTGCATCAGTTGCAAAGAACAAACTCTTACTGTATTCACTCCAGTATCAATACATTTTCCACAAAGCACATTTATTTCATAAGCAAAGAGGGGAAGAAGATAATTAAGAAAATTCCTACTCATACCTTCAGAAACCGGAGAAGCAGATGAAATCAGCTCACAGACTGTATCCTCATTGGCATCTGCTGAGTAGTATTGTTCTCTGTCATCCTCCTCTGGTACAGCAGACTGAAAGTCAGCAAATGCTTATATGTAAAATAGGAAGAATACTACTTATATTCACAGAATTCACATAATTCACAGAATTACTAAGTTGGAAGAGACCTTCAAGATCACAGAGTCCAACCCAATGTGTTGATGTTGAAATATGCTTCTTAAAGTTTTGTGTACATGTAAATATACCGAAGTGCACATTTAAACATTTTTCCTGCCTTTCATAGTCAGGGGAGGCCTCCTGGGAGGAAATATGTATTAATTTCTGCAGAAATACTAAAACTTACTTTGCTATCACTCAATAACAGCCAATACTGCTTTAGGAAAAAAACCGAATACCGAATATTTACTTGATGTAATGAACACTGAAATCCTCAACACATCTGCTAGTGTAAACATCAACAGGTAAATTGAATTTCCATTCACAATCTCACACAAAATACAGCATTATGCATATTAAGGGGGACAGCACAGTCATTTGATGTTTTCTCTATGGGCAGATGTTTGCTAGAACAGACCTTTATTATTTGATGTTATACTGAATTTTCAGCAGGACAAGTGATGTATCTGAACAGCTCTTGGCAGATTCAGCATCATGGGCAATGAGCAGGTGTAAATACTGGGTGGGGCTAAACAACCACTGCACATGTGGAGTACTACTTGCTGTATACAGGTAATTACTTAAGTAGCAAGCTAGGTAATTTAAATGAATATTCATAAGGGACTTCAAGTGCAATACTGGCAGCAAGCAATTGCTAATTTTATTGCAACCAGTAGAATCATACTTGAATGCCTTTGGACTTTACAGCGCTAAATCCAAACCAAACAGGCAAAATATATGTTTGCATTACAGGCCATCAGAAAAAAAAAAATACATTTTCAGTTCTGCTTCTGGCTGGAGTGACTTGACCAGAGCATGCTACACATAACTGGATTTCTGATACACATGCATTTGTGGGGGAAGGTTCTCAGCCAGAGTAAACCTGGAACATACAAGGACAATTTTCCAGGTTCTGCCACATTAAGTGAAGGGAGCTTTGTGGCAGTCGACAAAATTAAGAAAGACTAAATAATAGACCTATTTTTTCTCTCTTCCTGACCCCTTTAAAGAATAAGAGTGAATATTTCATACTAATTCAGTACTTCTAACAGCATTAGTTGCTCCTTGAACAGTATTAGTGAGACAAAACTAACTTTTTCACAGAGAAAGTTTGTGTAGAAGACAAAGCTAGACATGGTATTAGAAGAACTGCTTATTTATCCTGCAAAGCTTCCCTGTAGCTCTCCTGTGGCTTCACTCAAAAACTGAACCTCTACAGCTGTTACACAGAGTTAAATTATTTGGTTTCGAATCTCAGCACCACAATTTGTACAGTATAAGGCCACCACGAACTCAGTGTTTTCACTGATTCTGTCTTTAAAAGATTTGTTCTCTGCGTATCCTGAAGTAAACAAATTGGCTTACAGTCAGCTAGACCTACTCAGGCAAGGCCTGGCTACTCATCTGAACAATAAGATTTACCTGAAATGCTCAACAGCACACTGCTAATCATCAAGTCCAACATTGTGACCTTGTCACAGAGCTCTGAACCCAGAGCAAGACGTGCCATTTGTCTGATTCAGTGTTGAACTTGTAACATAAAAATAGCTAGCACTCAATTATTTGCTATGAGTACTGATTACTGTTCTTCCTAGGTTTCATACAAGTGAAATATATATATAAATATTTGCACAGATATATAATAGATGCATTACAAAGAAGGAACACACATCCATAAGGGAATCATGTCCTTTCAGAGGTCATGCTGTGGAAATCAAGTGTCTTTTATGCCATCTGGTTGCCCAAGTCCTTGAACACATAACTAAATTCAGCTAACTGACATCTTGGTTAACATTTTTGTCATTCTCTGCACATTTCTTGTCCTCTGCTTACAGAACCAGGCAAGTCTGCAATGCCTACATGCACAGTGATCCACTGTGGGGAAGTCACACGCACACAAAACAATCCTTTGGACCTGAAGCCTGCATTGCATTTATGATGACAGAGATCCTCCACTGCTAGAGGCACTAGTTCTTGGGAAGAATAGATGGAAACTATTTGGTGGCTTTAAGAAGAGAAAGGGAGAGGAAAAGGGGAAAGGGAAGAAAAAAGGGAAAGGGAAGGAAAAAAGGAAACAAGAAAGGGGAAAGAAAAAAGGGAAAAGGAAAGGGAACTCTGGTGCAAACAGAAATATAACTTGTCACTGCAGTGACAAGTGTGTCAATTCTTTTGCATTGACAGGAACCTGTTCTGCCAGTTTCTGAGGCAACAGCAAGGCATCTCAGCTATGTGGGCAACAATACTTATGTGCTTCTCACAGACCTGTGGCAGGGCAGAGCTGCAAGGTGCACTTGAGGTTCCATACTCAATGGAGAGAAGGGCTTGGTCGCTTAGCCTGTGCTGCACAGCCATGCTCCAGCCCTGCCTGTGCTCCAGACTAAAGGCTATGCAAGCAAATCAGCACAGCGAGCACAACCTAACATCCTTCACACCAGCACTACCGATTGGCTTTAATTTAGCGCTGTGTTAACTCCCCACACTGGAACTCACTTCTAATAGAGTATCCTGGAAGCCAGAGCAGAGCCTGTTTCTGTCTGCCCTACAACAGCAGCCTTGGAAAGGCTTTCAGAGCAAGCATGCTAAGTAGCGAAACATTTTAAGCAGCCAAGAAAATACTAGGGATTACACAATTACCTTTAGCTACACTCATCTCTGGAAATTAGGAGTCTTAGTGAAGTCAGTGAAAGGCTTTTCCCAGCTTCCAGTCTGCTACCTGGACCACAGCCTGGTGTGTTCTGAAGACGTGGCTCTTTCTAGAGCATAAGTCCTTAGAGAAAACCATAGTTTCCCATTTCCCAAGGAGAATGACACCCACAGCCCTCCCCTTGAAACCAGGGACTCGGGCTGGTGGGCTGTTCTGAAGAAGATGGTATCCACCCTCCTCTTTAAAGCCATTAACTCTGAATGAGAGAATGAACCTCTTTCTTAGGATGCTTAGGCAGAACAGGGTGAGTTCCGAACCCCAGGCTTCACTCTAAGGGCTCCTTAGGGTTCTTCAATCAAACATAAATATGTCAAAAAGCCTCTGAGCTGCTTTGAAGACTGTTTAAAGGAGTTTCTTAAACTCTTCCCTAGGCTACTGCTACAGACAGCACAATGGGCCTGGCAGGTCCACTGCAGTTGCCTTGTTCTTAGCAGGGGCTGAAGTCTAGGCAAACTTGCAAACCAAATGCTTATTGATATGAAGACCTAACTGTTCAAGGGAGCATGCAGGAACTCAGAGAAATTTAAGACAGGTTAGGAGTTTATGCTCTTTTAGCATTAAGAATCAGGTATGGAGCAGGTCTTTTTGATTTTGAATTTGTGTAGTGTGTATTGTGCCCATATGGTGTTCAATGTATCTAAAACTTCCTCTTTCTCTCCCAGAAAACAGCCAAAATCAAGTTAACTAAAGCTCCTTTGCCACAGACTTTAGCTTAAGCTGATTTCAGTGCAAGGCTGATGAGAAGAGATTTTACCTAAACCCAGTACAGGATAAAAACATTATAACAGGAGCACAGAAAAGGAGTGCCAGTGAAAATCAATGGTTGATTTTTATACAGAAAAGCAGAAAAGTAAGTGTAAGAAAACAATTCCGTATTTTCTAATTTTCTTCAGTCTAGGGCTATAATAGCACTTTTCATCTCCTGGGGCAAATGTAACAGTTAAGCTAAAGAGCAAGTTAAGATTCCTAACTGATCCTTAAACAAAGCTTGTGTTGGTACAGACAAACCTCAAACCAGGACCTACTATCATAAAATTTAATTACAGCTCTCCAAGATAAAATATTCTTTAAGAGGGATATATCTTATTTTAGAAAATATAATGTGACTAGGAGAATGGGTTAAGGCCAGAGACATCTTTCCAGTCTCGCTACTGTCCCTAGAGATGATTTATGATAATATGGCACAAATATGCAAGCAAACACTTACTCAAGCACTATTCAGTTCATGTTGTACTACATGTGCAAAGGCTGTGTAATAAGCAAATCCTAAAAGGTAAAATAGCACTAGGGACGTGAACTGTAGTATTCACAAGACCCAGCATCAGTAAGCACAGAAGAATTAATATGAAGATATTACTTAGTCAACAGAATCCAAATTTACAAAAGGAAGTTAATGAATTGTCCTGGTTTAATACATTTGAGGGGGATACTTTAAAATAAGTTACCACCCGTTAGTTTTAACCAATCTCTTTCCACCATTAAGGTGAGTTGATACAACTGAAAACATAACAGTTTATTAACAAGCAAAAGCGGTGGCTGCGGTGACTGCATGGAGCGGGGCTGCTCCGCTTGTCCCAGCACGGCGCTGCAGCTGCCGACAGATGCTGCAAAAATCCGACTTGAAACTGGTTTTGATTGAGAAATGCAGCTTCTAGTGTTGGTACTGTTGCGAGTACAGGCAGGAAAAAAGCAAGAGGCAGAGGGAGCAGCGGGACAGAGCCTCTGCCTCAGTCCCACGAATTCTAAAGAGATCGCAGCACCCCCAGCCCCTGCCCCGCCCGTCCGTTTTGGGGCTGCAGGGTCTGAAAGGGACAGAAGCACATTTGGGCACAGAGAGATGTGCAATACAATAACATTTTGGGTTACCCGGGGCATAGGTTTAAATACTTCGCTTTTTCTGCCCCATATTCCCAAAAATTGACTCTGAACCTGCATTGACTGGACCTGTCCAGCTATCAGATCACAGAACCAGACAGGGTGCGGTTGGAAAGGACATCTGGAGTGCAGGTCATGTCAGACAAGTCCTCCTACAGCCTGTTGCCCAGGGCCGTGTTCCAGCTGATTTTGACGAATGGAGTCCTCAGAGATTCCCTGTGCAGCCAGTGCCATTGCTCGGTCACCCTTACTTGTGAAAAAGTGTCCTCCGGTGTTCAGAGCGAGCCACCTGTGCTCTTAGTTTGTGCCCACCACCAGTTGTTCTGTGTGTGTGAC